TTTTCGTTTTGTTGTGTGTTTTGTTTGTTTGTTTTGAGACAGGGTTCATGTATCCCATGCTGACTTTGAACTCAAGGTAGGCAAAGATGATCTTGAATTCCTCCAAATGCTGGGACTAGAGGTGTGCACCATCATGCCTGACGTTGTGAGTACTAGGGACTAAACCTGGAGCTTCACTTATGGCAGGCAAACATTCAACAAGTGAGGCATGTACCCAGTGAAATGGTTGTAGCTTTTCACTCAGCATATAGCTCTATTCTTTTAGGGAAAATAATGTCCATATTCTAGTCTCAAAAATAAAATGAGGGTATGGGGGTCAGTAAGATGGTTCAGAGGATAAAGACACTTGCCACCAAGTCTGATGACCTGAGCTTGATTCCTAGCGTCCACATGATGGAAGGAGAGAACGGACTCCCACAAGTTGTCTCTGACATCCATACATGTAAACACGCATACACACATAAAAAATAAATAACAAACAAATAAATAAAATATTTTTTAAATAAAAATGAGAGCTGGGGAGATGGCTCAGTGGGTAAGGGCATTTTCTTTGCAAGCATGGAGATCTGAATTTAATTCTTTAGTACCTATGTAAAAAGCCAGGCATGGCTATATATGCCTATAACATGAGCACTGGGAGACAGGGACAGATCCTGAGAGCCAGCCGATCACTCGGCCTAGCCCATACTGCAAGCATCTGGTTTAGTGAGATACCCTGTCTCAAGGAAGAAGATAGAGAGTGCTACCCAACATCCTGCTCTGCCTCTGTATGTGATTGAAGGGGCATGCGCATTGCACACTCAGATGCATGCACCGCACACACTTGCACACACACAATACACATATACTGCATACATGAAATAATAATAATAAATAGAAAATGATTCACTATTATCTTAATAAAGTCACATTGCACATTGTTGATTATTATACTGGTGCTTCTCTCTCATACCAAAAGAACTTCACCTAGATCCCTCATCAATTTTTAAAACTTACTACTTGTGTCTAAAGTAACTATCAGGTTTTAACATTAGACTTCTGATTTAGCATTAGATAGAAACTGTCAAATACCCACATGAACCAAGAGAGTCCAAAGGATAAACATAAACAGATCCTTATGCCCTTTATTATTAATATAAAATATGATAAAGGAAACATCACAAAATAAAGTTGTGAGAAATTTCTAAGAAGGATTGACTTATTATACAATGAATAAAAATTTTAAATATATCTAAAGAATATCAGGGGCTGGAGAGATGGCTCAGCAGTTAAGAGCACTGGCCACTCTTACAGAGGACCTGAATTTGATTCCCAGCACCCACATGGCAGCTAACAACCATACGTAACTCCAGTTCCAGGGGATCCTATGCCTTCTTCTGACCTTCATGGGCATTGCACAAGATGGGTGCATTTACAGATATGCAGTCAAAACACTCATACACATAAAATTAAGATAAATAAAATATTTAAAAAGAATGTCAACATCTAAGTTCTCTTAATAAAATGGATGAATTTCAAGAATAAAGTCGATGGAGAAATCACTACCTAATATTCAAAGCAAGAGAGGACTCGCAACTAAAAATACCAATGGAAATGATGTCAAAGTTTCATTAAAAATTAAACAAGTTTTAATTTCTTAAGACATGGTATTTTTCAATGAGTAACAGGAACATTAAGGAATCCAACTGAAAGTAGTTAAAAACAAGAATATACAATAAGTATAACAAATCAATTCCTTTCACTAGCAGGAAAAAACCTTAAGCAAAAATGTGATACAGATTTTCTGAAGAGCAATATGGAAGTATTTATTAAAAGTCATGTAACCAATGCATACATAGGGTGCATAATAAAACTTGGTTAAACTTCGGGTGCAAGAATGATGACTACAGAAAAAAGTGGTAAGACAATCTACAAGTTGAAAACACAGCAGTGTTAAACAAATTCCTGTACACAGATATATAAAGATGCTATTTATCCTTTATCTACATCTTTTATATTTTTACTATAATTATTTGTTATACATATTTTTAAAAAGATATTTAGTGGTATAGGAAATTCTTAGGATATAGCTGTAAGTAGAAAGAAACAAAATGTATGACCCTGATGGATGGACATGGACACACACACATGCGCACACACACACACACACACACACACACACACACACTCCACACACACACCACATAATTTTGTAGAGGAATTAGAAAAAAACACAGCTATTGTTATCTAAAACTTGGTATATGAATTTTAATTTTTGGTTGTTTTGTAAATATGCATTTTTCTTATTCATAAACAACTAAACATTTTAAAACAGCTGCATAATATATCTGTCAATGTGACCAGGTGATATTCTAACCCCCCTTCCAGTATCACCTCATTGGGGTAGTAAAACTCTGATTCATATATAAAATGATGGCTTTGACATTCTACACTGTAACTGGTAAAATGAATAATGCAGTGTCTCCCTCCAACAGAACCAGCTGCTTGGAGTCATCACTATAACTTGCCTCCCCTTGTTCCTTGTGGGTCACCAGGTTCTGCTCACGATTTCCATAGTCACACCCCCACCCCCCACCCCCATGCAAGACTTTATTATGCTGTGCTGGGGTTACAGTAAATCATCTTAAATTATAATCCTTTGCCCTCCATTCTCTAACTCATCCTGCTTTCCACTCTTAGGTTAATCATCTTAAAATTCCAATTTCATGATCTCATTTGTCTGCTGGAAATCCTCCACAGATTCTCCATTTCATATCATTCTCCAATCTTAAATTCTTGCCTGTAGGATTAATACCTATCTGCCGTCCAATCGGAATACCCGCACCCTTCCATTGTGTTCCCTGCCATTCCTGTGCTGTTTTCATCTCATTCACTTCCTTCCCGGTTTAGTAACACCAGAAAGCAGCAATCCATTTATGATCTTTTACAATGCACATCATTTGTTGAGATCTTGTCTTACCAATTCTTGTTTTCTTGTCGGAATACTACATACAGCATCAAAAGAGATAAAATATGAACACATGAATACATAAGGTTTTACATTTAAGAGTTATTATTGTACACACTATCATCCTGAAAGAAATACTCTTAACATTTATCACATTTAGCTGTAACTATCAAGTTGACATAGTCTAATCACCTGAGGAGTCTCAACTGAGCGGTCTCCCAGATCAAATTGGTACAAACGGGTTGTCTCAATAGTTGATTGATGTAGGAAGGCCCAGCCCAATATGAACTACATTCTTCCCTAGGCAGGTGGTCCTGGGCTGTTATAAGGAAGTTAGCTAAGCATGAGCCTGTGAGTGAACCAGCAACTAGCATTCTACATAGCTTCTGCCTCAAGTTCTTGCTTGATTTCCTGCCCTAGCTTCTCTCAATGATGGACTCTTTCCTGGGAGTGTAGCCTAAATAAATCCTTCCCTCTTCTGAGGTGCTTTTGGTCAGAGCATCTTTTATCACAGAAACAGAAAGGAAAAGGAATATGCCATGAGAGAACTTGTGTTCTCCCTGAATTCTTTGTTGAGAGATCATGGACTATTTCACTCGATCTTTATAACTTTCTATTTCTTAATCTAAATAAATAGGAATATTAACTCCATCCCTATAACAATATTTTACTTACCTTCCTATTGAAAATATCCTATATACTAACAATTTCATCAGCACATAGCACAGAGGACCAAATGGTTTAAACATATGCACACACACACACACACACACACACACACACACACACACACACCCCTTCTCATCCCCAAGAAGTTTATAGATTGTTCACATTTGTACATATAAACAAATGCGTTCAGTGCACCATGTACATCACTGTATTTACAAAATCCTATGAACTGTCACTATATGTATGGAAATCAAGAAATATTTTTTTCAGGGCTGAGACTCAAACTCAGAGCATTGTACATGTTAGGGAAGTGTTTTATTATGGAATTATATCTTAAGCCCCAAGATTGAGATGTGTCTAAAGAACATTTGGGTGATTTCAGGCTGATGGAATACACAGCATCATAGTCCCATTTTGGTGAGGCCACAGTGCAGCCAACAAGCTTTTCAGATGGCCCTCTTGGGCACTTTTTCTCATTTATTCACAGAGCACACTTAATTGTCCCCATACTACTGACTCCACTCCATCACTTCATCCCCGAAGATGCCCTCAGAGTCATCTAGTGACCGCTTTCTTTCTTTCCCTTCTCGGTGCCTAGCAACAAGTCTGCATCCACTGTTATTTTCTTCCTTTCTATTACCCTAATACAGACATTTTTGAACTCCTTTCCCCATGGATCTTTGTCTTCTCTCCACGCCTGCAACCTTTCCAGAATATGATTCTCTCCTACATCTTGTCTGTCCGTGCTCCAATAACATCTTCATTACGAACTCTTAGCCGTGGTATTAAACACATTTCCTTGTTAAAAGCAGTTTTCTTCTTCCCTACATCCTTTGCATATATACTCTATCTTCTCGTCCCCTGGACAGCCTAGACGACCATCTCCTGTGGTTGTAATACTTCCACTCATCCCTCTAGTCTCATTTCTGCCCTCAGATTCCAACTGAAACAGGTCTTATCCAGTTCACCAAAGGCTTGCTAGTTATCTTCAGTGGGTTTCAGTAGTTTTATCTTCTTCTTTCCCTCTTGACGTTGTGATTCTTCAAGTCCTATTCTATACATTTCCTGTCAGGGTGAACTCTCTCCATGAATAGCTTTCACTAATCTCTACCTGCCAACTCCCAAATTTCAAAGCCATTTTTCAGCAGAACCTCAGTCATTCTTGTCCTGCATAGGATTCTGAACTTTGCTGTGCTCACTGAAATCACTTTGCCATTTTTTTATTCAGAAGAGTGATTTGAGTTGAGTCTCATTTGCATTTGAAAAATATTACTTATGAAAAGGCAGGAAATAAGCTTAAAAGGATAAGAAACTGAGGTCAGGAGTCACAAGGCAATCTATAGAGCATGGATGAAGAGAGGAAAAGTATAGTAAGTCTCCTTACCTTGAACGGAGGACTCGTGTCACTTGGCCTTGCGGAGAAGTCAAAGGAGATGATGAGATCCACACCTCTCTGAGGCCTCAGGATCAGGGGATATGGCAGGTTAAATGTGAGCCCACTGTCCACTACATGAATCTTTTTACTTTTGACATCCAGTGGTTCATATATTCGTTCAAATTCATCAGGATCTTAAGAAAAGAAAGGCAAGACATGGATGAATTAAAGGATTACTTGACATTACTTAAGACACTTAAATGTTTATTATAAATTTGAAAGACATAATTCCATGTAATTAGGCCCTCTAGCATTCCTAGAAGTGGTTATGGGTCTAACTCTGACAGCTGTAGGCCAATTAATAGTTTTAATTCTTAATTTCTTCATCTATAACATCAAAACAAAAGCACTTTCCCTTTTTCTTTTCTTTCTTTTTATTTTTTTTTGAGACCGGTCTCCCTGCAGCCCTAGCTGGCCTGGAACTCACTATGGAGACCAGGCTGGCCTCGAACTCACAGAGATCTGCCTGCCTCTGCCTCCTGAGTGCTGGGACTAAAGGCTTGTGCCACCACACCCAGCACAAAAGCATTTTTCATATAAGGGTGTCAAAGAAAGAACTTAGCTCAGGCCCTGGGATTGGCTCTAAGCTATGATCTCTTTAGTATTATCTCCCATTACAATTTCTTTACTGATTTTGAAACATTTCTTTGGACAGTATCTTGTTTAATTTTCAAAGCAGGTGGGCAAGAAAGACGACATGTAGAAATAGACAGTGAAAGAACTAAGATGAACTAACATCTCTGAGGTGACATACCTGGAGAGAGGCAGTGTCTGAGCAGAGCCACACTGCCTCCCTCTGGTGCCTGAGTGACATTCCACTAAGGGCTGAGAGTCCAGGGAAATAGTCCAGCTCCCATACTCCACAAGCATGGGTTGTCTATCCCTTTTTAGGCACAATTTCAGGCACTGAACAAGCCAGATAAACTCTAAGAGCGCTTATACTATGAGTATACTGCCGATAGTAAGTAAAGAAATACGCCAACAAGCTAGGACAGTGCAAATGCAGTGGCAGAAATAACAGAAGGCAACGAGGTGAGAACCAAACACTTGTTTGATGGTCAGGGGAAACCTTTCTCAGAAGCAATCCTTGAGCTAAAACAAGAATAATGATAAAAAACCATTCAAATAAAAATATATGAGTGGGGTAGTGAGGGAGATTTAGAAAAACAGGAAAGACCTAGAAGAGACATTAAGACAGAATAATGACGTGGTTGAGACATAGCAAGGACTCCAGTGGGGTGACAGACAGGGGGATGAGATGACAAGAGGTCTGAAAGTCACAGAGTGGAGAGATTGTTAATGTGATGAAAAATAATATTGATAACATATCACTCTTCCCAGTTACAAATGGCCCTGGGAATGATGGGGATTGAAATGGTTTGAATTGACTGACTGAAATGTGACGCATGTTCTTTGGTCCCTCCTTGTCACACTCTTAGTCCCACCTCTGTTTTCAGGAAGAAGGCAGGGAAGAAGGGGGAGAGGGAGAGAGGAAGAGAGAAAGGACTACAGTAGAACAGAGCGAAGGAGTTCACATGGAATGTGCTGAGTCTGCTTGAGCTGTTAAATTGGTAACCATTTTTTCATAAGGAATGCAATAAAAACTGGAGGGTCAGAGTGGCCTGTGTTTATAGACTTACCTATAAATGTGGCTAATACATATCTCCTGGTAGCTTGAGATTTACATTAAAAAGCATAATTAAAGTACCCAGAGAAATGAACAGCATATTATAGGAACCTGGCAATGGTATCTTCCAAATATTTCTAAGTAAAATAATACTAATTCTCTTACAGTCAATTTTATTTAGTGTGTTTTAAGAGCAAGAGATTTAAAAGGGCTAGTTTTTAAGTTACTGCAGTCCAATTGAATGAATAATCTTTGATCCTTAATAAAAGCCAAAATTTAAATACCAATAACACAATTAGCCATAGAGTTCAATGCAAATTGAAGTAAGTTGCTTAAATTAGGCTTTGGCAAAGTTACTTTAAAAAGCATAAACATCCTTTTACACTTCTATAGTTAGAAAAATTCATTTTTCTCATATCTTTTAAATTTTGTGATCACTAATGAATAACAAATGAATGCTACAAACATTTCCCTAGTTCTTGGAATAAAAAGATTTTATAACTGAGACACTCCATATTGTTCAAAATTGTTGAAGAGGGAAGGCATGAATAAATGGTTTTAAATGAAAATAAATGCTGAGAATTGTAATTGCTTGAAGACAAAAGTAATGCCACAGGTATAGTAAGTGAAAAGAACAGAACCAAGGGAAGTAGGGAAAAAGATGGGAGGATAGGATAGGGGTACTGTGACTGATGTAAAATTCAAAGCCAATGAGGAGAAAGAAGAAAAGTAATTCTTTAAATAATTATCTATATTTTCTCTTCTTTTTAAAAAATATTTTATTTTTATTTTATGTATATGCATGTATTGCCTGCGTGCAGGTAAGTGCACCCATGTCGTGTAATGCCCGCGGAAGACAGAAGAACAGAAGAAGCTGTTGGATCCCCTGGAACTGGAGTTACAGGCAGTTGTTAGCTGCCGTGTGGGTGCTGGAATTCGAACCCGGGTCTTCCACAAGAACAACCAGTGTTCTTAATCACTGAGCCATCTCTCCAGCCCCTATTTTCTCTTCTTATAAGTATCTCTATATTGTAAAATGTGTGTTGCCACCAGCCAAGACACTAACCTCTACACCGTAGACTGTGGCATCTCAAGGTTATAAAATTGAAATACATAGATTATTAAACTTAATTTTACCTCTGTTCTTGTTATATGCAGTTCAAATTCAATTATAATATTCATTCATTTCTCTGAGATTTTAGTTTGACAATTATGTATGAGAACTTTTAAAAGATAAAAACTTGAAAGCTTTGAGTTATATTATTTTTAAATATTCTACTAAGAAACTGGTAGTTCATCATTTGACTCCTCTCCTTTCTAATGACAACTTCATTTATATTGAACACCTACTATGTCTAGGAAATTTCACGTGTAAGTTGTTCTCTTGAAGACAGGGAAACTGAGGCCCCAAAAGGTAAGACAAATTGTCCAGATGTTCAGCTAATAAAAGGCCTAGCTGAGTTTCGAATATAATCTATGTAACATATAAAACTCAATGGAGTATCCTGCTGCATTGAGGGAGAAGTGTCAGTTTTTGGAAGTCTATTTGTACTTGGGCCCAATTTATCATATGACAACTACTAATATGTAGAAGGTTCTGTACATCCTGCTATGGGTGCATGCTCTCCCATTATTTCAATAAAATCTACCTTCAAGCAAACTCATTTCCAAGCCTGTGAGTGAATTAATTTGGTTCTGTGGCAGGTACAGGAACCACAACAAGTCTGTAACTTTTCTATAAAGAGTTCAGCTGTGGCTATTCATGATGGCTATCTTATAAATACATCACGCAGACTTGATTTACAATGGACAAATATTTGGATATCTGTGTTTTGAACTCTGGTCTGATTTAACTCATGTCTTGACTGCTTATTCCAGATGGTGTATGTCACAGTAAACAATATAAACACAAAGTAAACAGGAAAGAAGTCGTGTGACTAATGAACAACTCCTCCAAAATTTGTTTCTACAGGCATTTAACTATTTTGCAGTAAACTGATGAGGGGATTTTTATCATTTTATAATTTATCTTGTTTTCCAAAGGCCTGCAAGCTAAAGTCATAGGTACAAAATGGTGTCTTTCTTCTCATTTTACACTGAGAAACTACATACACAAAAATTAAATAAAAACAAATTTAAAAATTCAAATTTTAATGTTCATGAACAGAATTACCACAGAGCAAAGCATAAGCCTTTTCCAACATAGCATGTAGAAACGATAAAAGCCTTTACCGGTTCTTTTTTTACAAGGAGGAGATATAAAATTGAAAGGAAATAATTTTAATTAGTCATGATTTTGGTTGTAGCATTTCAGTTGTGTAATTTTCTTTACTTACGTGTTTATTTAGCTGTATGTGTGTGTGTGTGTGTGTGTGTGTGTGTGTGTGCATGTGCACACAGACATGCATGTGCCATGGTGCGTGTGTGGAGATTCTCTTTTCTACCATGTAGGTCCCAGGAATCAAACTCAGATAGTCAGGCTTGGCAGCAAACACCTTTATCCACTGAGCCATCTCACCTGCCCATAGATAGGAATTTTATGAAATCTTCTCTGAAGAAAAATGATCACAGTTCTATTTTAAACATACGATTTTTCTAAAACTTAAAAACAACTAGAGGGAGGCAAACAGGATTTATCCTAGTAAGGTCCTTGTCTTGAAAAGCACTAATATATTCAGTTAATTCAGTCTAAAAATGGAATTTTTTTAGCAATGTTGGTATATAAACAATAAAGTTGAATGAATTTGCTATTGAGTTGACTGAAACTCTTATGGAAATTAGTATTTTTATTACAGAAATGTAATTTTTTTCAAATTAACATGAAATATGCATAAATTAATTTTAAGGTAATGCACACTGAGGCATGAGAATAATTATCTCTCCAAAGATCATGAATATAAAACAACTTTTAGGTTAGGATATATCAAAAAAATCTCAAAAAGAAATAGTAAATCTAATACTGACTTTTGGGATGATTAATATATATTTCTTTGCACTGTTTTATACAACATGCTCGTAACTGTTCTTTCAGGGGCATCAGTAAAGAAAGGAATGAGAAAGGTGATGTGCGGCTACCGTTCTCCAAACCCTGCTGGGAAGGAAGAGCACTCAGCCCGCCCACAGTCATCACGTGTAGCTATGTCCCCATTGACCTACAGTTCCATCAGGATCAGAATGACTCTTTTACCTTCTATTATTGTTATAAACAAAATATAGAAGTCTTCCCATGAATCACCTCTTTGAGGAAAGGTCATCAAGGGCTTTTAACATTCATAGAGGCAATGATTCTATTTGTCCTTCCACCTAGTGACTCTCAAAGGACCAAGAACATTCTGCTTGTAAATGCTGTGTGAACGCAAGAAGGAATGAAGGGAAGACAGCAGGTGAAGATGCTGCTGAACAACTTGAAAGATAATGAAAGCGTGAGCGACATCTTCCCTAAGGTTACCAAATTTGGCCAATAAAAATACAAGATGCCCAGTTTTAATGTGCATTTCAAATAAACAACAAATAACTACTTCATCTCAATATGCCCCAAGTATTGAAAAGATGTATGTACCTTCATATTATTTAAAGTTAAAATTTTAACTGGGAATTCTGTATTTTATCCTGCAATCCCAGTACTACCAAATAAACCATGTTAAATATTGCAAAACTGCCAGGAAGTTGTTAAAATGTGGAGTGAGTTGGTTAGAACGCGTGCTAATCAAACCACAGAGGAACTATGTTGGCAAAGTAATAATGAAAAATAAATGCAGTAAAGTAAGTATACACAAAGAAAACGTCCATTCTTACATCAGTGAAACAATGACTAATAAAACCATGGAGGATCAAGTGTAGCTGGAGAAATGGCTTAGAGGCAAAACCCAGAGGTCCACGTCCCGAGTCCAGATTTGCTGAGAAATTTAGGACAAAGGTGATGAAATATTTTCTTTGATCTTCCTTGTCTATAAAGGAAAATAACGGAAGGTTCTTCACAGATCTAAGTGTTCTGTGAGTGTAATTTGCTTTATAAGCCCATCACCAGTGATTATAAAGCACAAGTGATGTCGAAACATACAACCATGTGTCACAAAACAAGAAAAATAAAGTCACTGGTTGTATTGTTGAGTGTATTTTTTAGTTCAAGTTTAAAATACACATTTACTTTATCACAAGGAGACATTTATTACAGCTAATAAAAAGATTTTGGATTATAAAAACATAATTAGAAGTAACTCATATCTTAGAGTTTAAGGTCATAAACAAAGTACAAAATATACTGTTTGTTCCCCTTAAAGTCAAACAACAAACAGAAAACAACAACAAAAATCTAAAGCCTATCTTACTTTCAAAAGTATTATTTAGGTATGAAGAGCAAGGAGCAGCAGGAAAGTGTTTTGGTTTTGTTTTTCAAATATTTCCTTTAAGTTATTACAGCATCTTGTGCATGACCCTAAGGCAGAAATTATTAAGAAACTACATTTGGAGGAAAAGATGATAATCTGATAAATAGAAGATTTACGACAACAGGATCATCACAAGAAAGGTGCAGTACATTATTATTACCAAAGCAAATGAAACATTTAATCTATAACTCACATAAAACTGAGAGTAACTTATTCGTGAAGATTTGGCTAAGTGACAAATATGGAAGTGACTAGGTTCTTGCTTGAAGGAGAGTTAGGAACGTTTCCTCATCTTTCTGAGAACCGGAGTCACAGTTTCCCTGTCCTGGTGGGCACTACAGACTGGCTAACGCAGTGCCACTCCAACGCCTGCGACGCTGGACCTCCTTCACCACATGGGGGCACCAGGCCAAGCTCAGTTCACCGCATCCCTCAAGCCCTCGTGGACACCTGGCCTCTTCCAAGGATGCCGCCCACGCGATTGGAAGGAGGAAATGAGACAGAGGCTGTGTTTCTCCTTTCCTACCGCCAAGAGCAGCTGTGGAGGCGTTTGTGGGGAAGAGTCTGGTGTTTTTGGAGTCACTCCTGGAAGCTCCGCCTAGGGCTTGCTCCTCTAATCCTTGGAACAATTTTGCAAGCACCTAATATCCTACTTTACAGTCACTGTAATCACATCACAGTAGAGGGTTTCCTGTAAGTGAACCTTGACCAATAAAAAAAGGACCAAAGGGCTCTCAGTATCTCAGTGAATGCTTTCTTTTTCTTTCTTTCTGTCTGTCTGTCTTTCTTCTTTCTTTCTTTATTCTCCTTCAATGTATTGATTTTTTTTTAATTCTGCAGAAACCTGCCTTTTAAGGCTGTATTAGTCACTTTTATGCTATATATGTGATGAGTATTTTGGCTGCTCATATTTAAATGCACCACATTCGTGCAACATCAGCAGAGGCCAGAAGAGGGCGTTAGATCACCGGAACCGGAGTAATAGATGGTTCGTCTTGTGGGCACTGGGAACCGGACCCAGGTCCTCTGCAAGAGCAGCTATTGCTCTTAATCTCTGAGCTATCTCTCTAGCACCTCAATGAATGTTTTGTATACTAATATGCTTAGGCCATTCCCTATCCAATATAATATTTCTCTTTAAAAAGACATAGTTCAGGTGCCGTCCTTGGAACTGAGTGTAAATAAATGTTAACAGGAATTAAAATGTTTCTCCCTAGAGTAAGAAGAGGCCCTGAATTAGCTTGCACAGCTTCCGCTTTGGTACTGACCTGCTACAGCTGCATCGAGTTCGTCATCATCAAAGGAGTCCAGTGGGCTAATGTCTCTCAGAGGAGACAGTGGGTATGATGTGTTGAGATTCAAACCTAGCATAAAGTTGTGCACTTTCCCAGCACGTCCTTCTCGGGTATTGAATAAAGCTGAGTCGCTCACCAAGGCCATTAGCATACGATGGACCCAACTGGCTTGATTATCGTTTTGGTGCTCTGCTTGAGCATCTTCGCTTTCAGTGCCTAAGTCAGAAGTACAGAAAGTCACACACTCCCAAAAAGCATTTAAAAAAAAAATTCTTAGTTTAATCAAAAGTTAAAAATAAAGCTCTAGGGCTTTGACTTATCATATGCTTATTTGTATTAATGGATGTGGAATGAATGTTCAGTCATTGTTGATCTTAAAATGACCTACACAGTGTAGGTTGATATTCTTTACCACTGCCACTTGGTCTATTAGATTTTCAAGAAAACGTCATTATGGTCCTTTCTACCTTGCGCTAGTGCCCCCGCCCCAGAAAATTCATAGTAGTTAATATGCTAATACTACCTTTTATGGTCCCTAGTGTTTCCTAAAGGTCCATATCCTGTTTAGTAAACTTTCAGGGATTACACAAACTCAGGAGACACAGCTAAAGGGTTCAACATATAACTGATGTTAAACACCCTCACAAACCCATCAGAAGACTTGTCATTTCATCCTTATTTATAACGCCTGGGGATTTAAAATCCTATAATTTAAACAAATGATATAAAGTGCTTTAAAATCCACCAATTATCCACAGAAGCAACTAGAAATAACAGTCCCCTGAAACCCATGCACAGCACTACTCCTGGGCAGCAGTTATCTAGTACATTCATCCAGAGTAAAATTACCTGTGCTCCAACCCTCTTTCCACTTCTTTTTATTTGCTCATTTCCTTATTTACTGGCATTTTTCATTTCTATTGATTCTCTGAGAATTTTACACAACATATTTTTATTACATTTAGATGCCCACCCTATCTGTGCTCTTCTTATACCCTCCCCAACCAGATTTCATGTACTTTGTCATATATATTAAGAACCATCAAGGGGTTGGGGATTTAGCTCAGTGGTAGAGCGCTTGCCTGGCAAGGACAAGGCCCTGGATTTGGTCCTCAGCTCCAGAAAAAAAGAAAAAGAAAAAAAGGATAAATAAAAAGAACTATCCCAGTTTGTGTCCCCAAATGTCCTTCTATGTGGCATATCCACTGGAGCTTGGTTAACCTATCTAGAGTCACACCCTTAAAGGAAACTGATTCTCTCTCAGTAGTTCCTCAGCTAAGTTTGGGGCTTCTTACTTCCCCACTCTCCCACTTTTATGCTGGGAGAATGTTGGGCTTGAGCCTGCATGGTTCTTGTGCATGCTGTTCATATGAGTAACTTCGCAGCCATCTGGAAAACTCTTGTGGACAACCACCACCTCTGGCTCTTAAAATCTTTCTGCCCTCTCTTCTGCACTGATTCCTGAGCCTTGGGTGGTAGAAGTTTGATATAGGTGTCCTATTCAGGGACATGCACTCTGCAGTCTCTTAGTCTCTGTACTTTGGCCAGGTGTGGTTTCTGGGTTAATCACCATCTGTTGCATGAGGAAGTTTTGCTGGGGAGAGTTGGGAGATGCATTCACTATCAACTCCCTCTTATCCTTCATTACTTCGTCAGTAAATCTCATAGGGTTGACATGAGATTTGACTCAGTTTGGACATCTATATGAAGTTTTTAGAGAAGTGTCTGGCCTACATTAAGATCAAAATAAACACCAGTTAGGAGCATAAACGCTATAACAACAACAGCAACACAATCATCACCATTATATTTTATGTGTATGAGTATAATGCCTGCATGTAGGTGGGTGCACCCGTGTTGTGCAATGCCAGCGGAGGGCAGAAGAGGCTGTCAGATTCCCTGAAACTGAAGTTACAGGTGGCTATTAGCTGCCATGTGGGTGCTGGGAATCAAACTCAGATGCCCTGCAAGAGCAGTCAGTGTTCTTAACCCCTGAGCCATCTCTCCAGTCCCTCACCCATCATCAGTATTATTCACTCAGAATCAAGATCAATGAGTACTTTCTCAGAACATTACCTCATCTGCTTAAATTCATTCTGTTCTGATTTCTAGAAACTCTGTGTACGAATATGTATACTTGTATAAAACCATGTATCAGTTCCAAGAGAAGAGTATCTACATTCAGCTTTCATAATTTCTAATAAATGTATACTAAACTTACATAAATCCATTATATCTTCACAAATATTACTTAACTGAATTGAGCAAATGAATGGATCTTTCTCTTGATAATCAATCCAACTGTCAACACATCAATCAAAAGCAAATAAAAGTTTCTATTCCTAAATATGACAAAATATTTCACCCCCCAAAATCAAGGTTTAAAATTAATGATTTATGTATGTAGTGGTGCTCGCCTTTAATCCCAGTACTTTGTGGGGGGGGCGGGGCAGGGGCAGGCAAATCTCTGTGAGACTGAGACCAGCCTGGTTTACATAGTTCCAGGACAGCTGGAAGATCCTGTCTCAAAAAAACAAAAAAAAAAAATTAATGATTTTTGTCTCCAAAATGATTAATATTTCCAAAGATTCAGGGCTTCTTATCACTGTTGTTTTTCAATAACCCCATTTCTGCACCAACAGAGGACCTAGCTCTTTATGATATATCTGAAAATGGAGTCACTTACAAGACAACCACCCAGTCGGCAGATAAATAATACTTATTTCTCACTAGCTTCAAGTTTCTCTTTTGGGTTCTTTGTAAGTTTAAAGTCCCTTGTTATCTGTCTATTTGCTGATTTTGTGATTGCAACAGTTCTATAAGCAAAAGCAGATGATTCTAGCAGAAATCTGAAGAGTCTAAAATTGGAAATACCTGAAGACCTGTTCAAAAGCATAGGACTGAAAATATAACAACCTCAAGAGAATAAAAAGACAGGCTAAAAACTAGAAGAAGCTGGGCGTGGAGGCGCTTGCCTGTAATTCCAGCACTTTAGAAGGTGGGGCAGGAAGATCAGGAGTTCAGGCCAGGTTGGGCTTGATGAGACCTTATCTCCAAAACCAGGTAAACAAACCAATAAATGTACTTTAGGAGAAGCCATAAAGAAGACATAAAGGACTGGTCTCCAAAATATACAAAGAACTGCCAAAAGTCAACAGTAAGAAAACAACCTGACTAAAAGATGGGCCAATGACTGAACAGCATCTCCTCAGAGAAGAAATACAAATGGCAAGTAAGAAAGGAAAAATTACTTCCCCTTATATGTCATCAGGGAAATATAAATTAATGCAATGAGATACCATGACTCCCAAATTAGAACAGCAGGAAACACCACTTGTTGGCAAGGATGGGGAACCATAGGAACTCTCATTTGTTAATAGTGAAAATACAAAACAGCACAGCTATTTTGGAAGACAGGTTTTGTTTTGTTTTGTTTTGTTTTGTTGAGACAGGTTCTCCCTATAGTTCAGCTGGCCTGGAACTCACTGTGTGGACCAGACTGGCTTGATTTCATAGAAATCCACCTTCGTCTGCTTCCCATGTGCTGGGATTAAAGGTGTGCATCACCATGACTGGCATAGGCATTTTCTTTTTTGTTGTTGTTGCTTTATGCTATTTGTTTTTTTTTGTGTTTTGGGTCTCCCTAGTCCCAACTCTCCAGGAACTCACCATGTGGAATAGACTGGCTTTGATCTCACAGAGATCTGCCTGCCTCTGCCAGGTAAGGGCTGGGATTAAAGGTAAGTGCCACCAACCCAGCAGTGGCATTTTCTTGTAAAGCTAAATATTTTTGTCAGATGATCAACAATTGTGCTCTTTGTTATTTATCCAAGTGAATTACAATCTTATGTCCACATGAAACCTTGAGGATAGATGCTTATAGTAGTTTTACTCTGAGGTCCCAAACTTGGAAGCAGCCAAGATCTCAGTCAGTCTATTAAAGGATAAGTGTCATACAGTCAGACCATGAGATCATACCAGCAGTAAAGTAAAAGAAGCAGTAAACAGACAGAGAGAATATAAAAGGTGGAAGAAATTCATCCGAAAAGAATACATACTGTATGATGCCTTTGCTCATGATCTGCTGGGGAACTCAACTGTCTTACCTTTGGGTGCTTGGGACTCATCGTCACTGTCTGAGCTGTCATTGCTCACAATGTGCTTGGCTGTAATATTTTCTGTGAAAAGAAGACAAAACCATTGAGGCATCTCGAGCATCAAAAATCATAGTTAAAGGAGTTGTGGATTTAGCTCAGTGGTAGAGTGCTTGCCTAGCAAATGCATGGCCCTGATTTGTACAGAAGTACAGAAAAAAAGAGACAAAAGATAAAAATCATAATTACATTTACTGTGAAGAAATAGTCTGAAAGTTACATGTGGGAGCTCCAGAAAATTTATCTGTAGGCAGCTGTTCATTATAAAAATCACTCGAGTGTCAAGGAATTTGGCAGGCAGTTTTCAGGGTTTGAATACAAGAGGGTACCCAGGTATGTGCTCACCTGGCTCCTCCTCCCAGGCTATCAGCTGAGGGTGTCTTAGAGCAGCAGGTTTACAAGCCAAAGCACAGGCCTGCAGATGATCGATCACCTTGCCTTCCCCTCCCTCGCCAGACTTCTGGGATGTCCCTTCCCACAGTGCCCTTGCCCTCATCCCACATTCAACCCTTCACCAAACCCAGACCTTTTGAAAACCTGGACCTCTCTTAGAGCTGTGGAGCTCCCATCTTACTAGCACTTCCCAGTTCCAAGATTCTTGACCTTTCCTGGGCCTACTTCAGCCCCTCAACAGCTTAATTTAAAGAAAAGAGAAGGAGAAGAGGAGAGGGGAGGGGAGGGTTGGGGAGGGGAGGGAAGGAGAGGAGGGGAGAAGAGATCTGAGAAAACCACAGAAGGAAACCACTCTCATCTACATGTAACTAGATGAATATAATAAATGGAAATTTACCAGTTTTACTAGTTCTTTAAAATTTATCACTCGGAAACAAAATACACCAGTGTACAAAAATTAAATTAGTATAAAGTTATTCACTCCTATGTTTAAGGGTAAGATTTTGTTAGTTTATCTTAGTTTTCATAAGAACAACTACCTGATTATATCTTTAAGCAGTGTCTATGAAGAACAATAAAAAATAAAGCCCAAATCAGCAAGGGCTCTACTGAGCAGTCTGCATAATATCAAGAAAGGCAACTCACTTAAATTATCCTTTGGTTTTTAATAATACTGAAAATCATCTGATGAAATAAAATGTACTTTTTAGTGTCAAGGATTTTTATTTTCTTCAAAACTTACTGAGATCATCTATGAAAACTCAAAGAGCAACCATATGTCCTTAACATAAAGATAGCAGTAAAACCTAGCACAATAATTAGCCATCTTTTTCTTAGGGAAAACATGCCTAATTTGTGGAATCCAAAGGTCATTATCATAATCATCATTCACAGAAAACTCAAACATTCTGTGGAAGCATATAAAACACTCTTTTCAAAATTTTTTTTCATGAACTTCATGCAGTATATTTTGATTATATTTAGATGCCTTCCTGTAGCTGAATCACCCTTTCTACAGCCTCCACCAAATTTGTGTCCCTAAATGCCCTAAGGTGGGTATTCATCCGTAGGAGTCTGGTCAACCTATTAAAGCACTCTTCTATTATTATTATTACTATTATTATTATTATTATTTTATTTGGTCTTTT